ATCGCCGTTGCCAAGATAGCTTCAGAGAACAACATGACAAATTCTTTTACAAAAAGCTTACCGGTAGGGATCTTCGGCCGACACGTAAAAGGAATGAGAGTTAGACACGTGGTGACTAGTTAGATTAGTATTTGGGAATAAAAATAAAAAAAATGTATACTTAATAATGGCTGAAAGCTATTATTTAAATATAGAGTCTAAGTGGGAGATTGTTAAAGTATACTATAAAAGCTTGACTTTCAATTTCTAACAATATCATTTGGAATCAGAATGGTGTTTTAGTCAAGTATGTTTGTGTGCAGTTTATTTATTTATGTGTTTTTTTTTTTATAGTTCGGAACAATAGGACGTCCAAACTTTATAAACATTATTATTATTATTATTATTATTATTATTATTATTATTATTATTATTATTATTATTATTATTATTATTATTATATTTTTATCTACCTTTTATCTATTTTCACATATTAAATAAAGAATATTAAAATATTAATTATAGTTTGATTAATTATAAATTTGACCCATGAATTAAACTGCAATGTATCAAAAAGTTCTAAAACTGTAATCAAGTTCCTAGAACTTATCAAATTTACAAAATGAAGCCTTTTCATTAAAAATCTGAAAAATGTCAAATTGTCTCACGAGCCATAGTCATCTCCGTCGCCACCGACCACCTTGACCCGCGGTTAGATGCAATATCAGCTGCCGTCATTGCATCCACCGTGATGGTCAACCACCTCCATCACTCCATCAACATCTGCATCCTCCGTCGCCCCATCAACCTCCTATGCGGCCACGGGACTTCCACTCACTGACCACTTTCTACTGCTTTTGATATCCCTATGTCGTCTTCCTCGATCACCTAGATTTCGTCAACAACCGAAACGACTGGGATGGCCGATCTCGCCGACGAGCACAACGACATTTGGTGACCAGAAGGAGGCATGCCGTCGTCTCAGGGAGCTGTTGAAGGTGACAACACACGGATGTGAAACATGTGTGTGTATGTGTGTGAAGAACGTGTGTGTGTGTGTGTGTGTGAAAACTGTGTGTTTATTTATTTGTGTGAAAAGAAGGAGAGATATGGTGGGACCCACAAGGTAGGTGGTGGGTGAAAATTTTGTGAGATGACAAATATGCCCTTAATAGGTGGTCAACATAATACATTTGACCATGAACGCTTATTTACAAAATTGTCATTACATGTTTAACTGATACATTTAAAATTTGACTTGATTATGACTATTGATATCTTTGATCAAATGGTAAAAATTATTCTCATTTCTTTCACTATCTACCATTATCATATGATCCCCACTCTTTCTCTCTCTCTCTCTCTCTCTCTCTCTCTCTATATATATATATATATATATATATATATATATATATA